GCCTAACTCTGGGTCCTTTCTGTCTACATATTTGACTGAAATACCCTGATATTATCATATCTATTTATAGATGAAGAGACTGAGGCATGAGAGGTCAATGAAGTGACTTGATTCAAATGACCCAGGCGTGAAACTATAAGCCTTGTCTGTTTCTTTCTACTGAATGATTATTTGATGTGAACAAGATAAGCAGAGCTGTAGGCCAGACCCAGAAAATCTACATGAGATTCAGACCCAGTTCTCATCTATTTTTAATCTATAGGGGTACAGATAGCACACAGACATGCAGATAGAATGGAAATGTGTAACGTAGCAGGGCAAAGGAATGGAATGGAATCATGGCAGAGAAAAAAAATTACTTGAGACTGCCAATCATATTTGGGCTCTTCCCTTCCAATCAGCTATGGGATTCTGAATCAAGTCACTTCAACATTCTGAGCCTCACTTTCCTTATTTGCAAAGTACAGGCAACCATGTCCCCCTCTCAGGATTACTGTAATTGTTAAATGTGTAGGTATAGGCCAGGTCCCTAGTACTATTCTCTGCTAGGCACCTGGTACCTGGAAGGGACCTGCTTCCTTCCCCCATTTATCTCACTTCAGTCCCCGAAGCCAAGAGGGGATCTTTAGAATTATTATGCCGCTCAGCGGGAGAAAGATGGGCAATCAACTCCCATGCAATTAACTGCCTCTGAAAATCCGCTGGAGGGTCAGCTATGAGTCAGTGCTGACTGCAAGGTACATCACCACCACCACAACAATAGTAAGAAAAGAGCTCTAGTGGCTTTGTGGTAAGGAGTTGTGCTGCCAAACCAAAGGCATGTAGTTTGAATCCACCAGCTACTTCAGCAGAAGAAAGATGGGCAATCACCTCCCTTGTGGTTTACTGCCTCTGAAAACCTGCTGGAGGGCCAGCTATGAGTCATTCTCAGCTCCATGAAACATAATAACAACAAGAGCACCCAAGTTTGCTGAGCACTTGCGATATTCCCAACACCAGTTAGGGGTATTTTTCATGTATGAGTTCATTTCTGCCTCCCAGTCACATTCTGACCGACTGGAAGCATAAAGCTCAAAGCAGTCAACCAGCTTGCCCAGGGTGGAACAACAAGTAAGGGGTCTTAGGTGAATTCACATTGAGATAACCTGAGCGCCAAGCACTGGAACAGTCTAAATCCTAGGTGTGCCTGCACGTGTTGGGAAGAAACCCACACACTTCTCAAGTGCTTAGTTTTCTCTGTGACAGTAATTCTGAGGTTGGGGACTTTTGTTTGTGGTTTGTTGCTGGTTTTTTCTTAGTGGTGAGGAGGTGGCGGATAGGATGTAGGGGGCCCACAAGAGAGAAAAATAATAGATCTTTTGAGTAACCAGCAAACTCATTCCAGCCCAACATTTAGAACAAAAGAAAAAAGGCTGGCAAGCCGAGGTGCTGGATGGGATTCAGGTAAATCCCTTTCTCCTTCTGAGCAGGGATTCTGGACCATGGAAGGAAGGGGAGCAGGCTAGGGGTGGGAGGAGGGCAGCACTTGTGGGGTCCACATTTCACTTATCTAACAAGTCAAGAAAAACTTTAACAAGATTAACTGCTGCTCGGGGCCTCTGCTCCGTGGAGCAAAATG